ATAAATGGTTAAATTAAAATTTTATTTACTCTCATATAAACATGTTAAGATTGCAGGATGATAAAGACACACATACACATTCCTGATTTTATAAAAAGAGGGGGAAAGGTAAATTATTTCAAAGTTTTTTTTCACATCAATGCCAGACCAAGTGGCAATATGGTTGCTTTATAAACTAGTCATCAATATAAATATTTACAGAATTATATGGAGCCATTTTATGCTATGATTCGACGTAAAAATGGCCTTTGCTATAAAATTTGTAAGTGTTTTTATGATTTTCTAGTTAAACATGAAGGTATAATGCTGAGGCTCACTGAGACCTCCTGCAGTTTCAGGAATATGCTTTCTTTATGCTATAAGACTGTTTATAACTGTCAAACCACCAGCAAGTTATCAACTCACATTGAAAATAGGCACCAAGCCACACTTTTGCTAATGTGAACTCTTGAAGAAAACAGAAACTAGACTGTTTTTATAATTTTTAAACTCATAAGTCAAAACACAGGGATTTTTTAAAAAACACAAAAAAACAATAATTTCTTTCTCAAGAGGTTTTTTTCTTTCCTTGGTGGTGTTCAAGCAAGAACTGTTTTGGAAATGCTGACAGGATCATAGCAAAGGCATCCAGAAGGAAACATATAATATGTTTATTTATCTTAGAAACCACAGAACATTGCAAAAGGCCAAATTGGCCCTGTAAAATGTGTTACTAACATGTACAGTATGATAGCTTAGTTTGGATAAAGTCAAGTCATTTCTGTGCTGATAAAGAAGGACCACAATCTATATTCTGGCATTTCTAGAATTTATGTCTACAGCTCAACCCTTTCCCTTGAACTCTAAAATTCTAGGTCTAAATCCTCCTCGACACCTCCATATGGAAGTTGAATATGCATCTCAGAAAGAACAGATTCAAAACCAGACATTTGACTCTCAGTTCTTCCAACTCAACCTCCCAGTCATTCCCATCTCAGTAAATGGTGACTTCATCCTTCCAGTGGCCCAGGCCAAAATTTCTGAAGTCATCTCTGTCTTTTCTCTTTCTTTCTCATGTCCCATCTGATCATTCAGCCATCCGTGGCCTCTCTGCCATCAAAACAAACCCATATTTTGATCCCTTCTCAACAATTTTTCTACTATTACCCAGATCAAAGTCTTCATCATCTCTCACCTGATTATTGCACTAGCATCCTAAATATTTCCTTTTGACCTATTCTGGTTACCTTACAGTCTATACACACAAAAGGATCCCCTCAAAGACAGTTGGATCAAGTCACTTCCCTGATGAGACCCCTCTAATAGCTCCCTGTCTTACTCAGAGTAAAAGCTTATCTTTACAATGGCCTAAAAAGTCCTACAAGATGCAGTTGTCATTACCTTTCTGACCTTGTATCATATATTGTCTCTCCTTGCTCACTTTATTCTGTTCATGTTTGTCCTCTCTGCTCTTACTGGCACCTGTCATGTATTTTCCAAATTTAGGGCCCCTTTTCTTGGCTTGCTCCCTTCCAGTTCTTCACCTCCCTGCTCAAATATCACTCCTGATAAGGTCTTTTTCCAACCATCCTATATAAAATAACAAGTCCCACCCCCTTCTCATCCCTTATTCCCCAGTTCTGCTTGAAATTCCTCCACTTTAATTGTCATATCCTGGAATGTCTCCTCCTGCTGCAACATCTGCCGTAGGGGGCAAGATATTATTCATTGCTGTGTCTCTGCCACTAACACTGTCGAGCACACAGTAGGTTGTTAATAAATATGGGCTGAATAAATGAAGTAATGTGTGCTAGTAGGTATATCTGATCAAGACAGAAAAGTTGGATTATTCTGATATTTTTGAGTATATTTAAACATTGATTTGTGTTTCTATTCTTGTTCCTGATGGCTTGGAAGCATTCATTCAGCCCTACAGTCCCTACAGAATGTGTGGTCTGGGAGGGCTCTCCTTACCTCCAATGCCTAAGTGATTGTTGGGAGTCATAATACTCAGGAGGCAACCCACCCAGTGCTTTTCTCCTTATCTTATACTGACTGGGGTGGGGTGCGCATATGGCCTTTCTCTTGGCTCAAAATTATTCAACTTCATTGAAGGCTGTTTTACTTTCCTGAATGATTATGGTTGTACGTGGTTTTAATAAGTTGAGTGTTCTCCCTTTCTTGATTTTACTTTGTTTTCGACTATTATACTTTGTAGTGTGAAATTGACAGTCTGTCACAGACCTGTAATTTGAAGTAATTGTGACAGATGGTGTGCTTGAAGACATAAACAAATTCACCAAAAGGAATGTTTAAGCAATACGTGTGGGAATTTAAAAGTGAGCAGCAAAAAAATCAAGAGTGAAATGACTGCAAAGTCGACTCAGCAACCTCGAATGTCTGTGCTGCAGGAGAGTGTGAAGGACAATGAAGCCTCATGAAGAGTTTTGTGTGTGAAGGGGCAGTCTTGGACTGGGACTGCCTGAAACTTTGGATGAATGAGAAATGACTGTATCAAACATTTTTAGTTTACTTGAGGGATTAGGCATTTCTTCCTTTGTGTAAAGATAAGATTATGATATCCTGCAGCTGCCTCTGCAATAAAATTGTGGAATAAAATGGTTTCTCAGAAGACTGTTATGGAGAAGGGGAAAGGAAAATAATAAAGATAATGGTGATGATTCAGACAAATGAATGAGCAGAAGAGGAGATCCAAGTTATCCCTAAGTTATGTCGTGAGAATGACATAGTAACATTTATTGCCAGATCAAGGTCATTGAAGAGATATGCTGTAAAAGAACATGAATACTGTGCTCTGGAAAATCTGGATCACTTGAATAAACTAAGATGGCAGTCCCTAAGACAGAAAGTGGCATGGCCAAGGCTAGCATAAATGTACAACAGAGGTTTTTCCAACCAGGAGGGGTCAGAGATAAATTCATAGTTTTCAGTCTTTTATGTTAACCACACATGATCGAACAACAGTTTTAATAAAAATAAAAACACAAAAATAATTAAACATTTAATAAAGAAAAAAGAAAGTGGATATTAATGATTAAGTTGTGTCTCCTCCCAGAAGCTATGTCCAAGATTGAATCCCCAACACCTGTGAATGTGACTTTGTTTGGAAATAGAGTCTTTGCAGATATAATCAAGTTGAGTTCATACTAAATTAGGGTGAGCCCTAATCCAATATAACTCATGTCCATAGAGGAAGAAGAGAAAAGACACAAATACACGAGAGAGAAGGCCACGTGAAGATGAAGATAAAGGCAGAAATAAAAAAGATAAATATATATATATATATATATATATAT